CGCCATTTTGATTACTGCATTTTTTCATTAAATTTCATATTTTCGTTATTTTTATGTATTAAATTGACGGAAAAGATAATAGAATTTAACAAATTAATCAAAAGTATCGTGCTACGTAATCCGTTAATTAAAATACACTTTTTAAAAATTAAATATTTGACGACAAAGCAGTTTATATGTGTATGATGATCGTTTTTAATAAAAAGAATATATTTAATTAGTGGCTTAATTGTGAGCATCTGTATAAACAGGCCACTGTACTTTAAAATAAATACGATAAAATAACTTGGGTTTTAGCAATGTTAACAATGTTGACCCGCATACTTTAGCATAATAAGAGAGTTAAATTCACTAAGCAACTCATAATGCATTACGTTCAGAGGTAGCTCTTTATAACGGATACGCAAAATGATTTAGCGAAATATTTTACACGATAAAATTATTATAAGCGCTCGGAGCGCTTATTTAACAGCAAAGCTCACACATACTTGGCTCGATTGTTATCACAGTGGTCTTGAATTTATCTATCCTCGTCAAACGTTCGCGGTGCCCAAACGTCGCATGGGGGAATTGTATCAGCGACAGGCGTTATATATATTTCAGCGGGTGGAAGCTTCTACAAAGCGCAAGTCCCTTAGTGAAGTGAAACTGCGGCCGCGTTATGTTGCGTTGCATTTCTGCACCGTTCATTATTCGAATTATGAAGTACTGATGTGACAATCTTTTATTCTCGCGATGTAATAAAAAGTAATAAAAAAGTTAGAAAGAAGGAAAACTGTTCTTCGCCAAGCCGATTAGATAACACGCTTGGCACATATGCGCGGTCTCGGCCGCACATGCTCGGAGCAAAACACATTTAGGTCCGCAAGTTCGACCGGAGGAATTAAATCGCATGTAGAATCGTTTACTTGATTGCAGTGAAGACAGAGGAGAGCACCATGTACGCTAAACGTTGCGCAGCTTTCATTCTTCTCGTCGTGATAGCCGGTCTTGTGAACGCCACTGAAAATTATATGGATTACGGAGGTAAGTTGCCACATGTCACTCTTATTCCACAAATTATTTATTGTTTACTTGAAAGGATAACACACGTAAAATAATGATGCGTATTTCTCAGTTTGTTTAAAACAAATATTTATTTGATAGTCGGAGTAAATCCAATTTCAGGAAAGTTGTTAAACTTTGCCATTGTTATAGGTTTGTATTTATATTGCATTGAATATACTTCATAACTCTTAGACTTTGACTATTCTCGAAATAAGCTCCTTATATTCTTATATTTCTTCAAAACACCAACAATATATATAACAATAAGTTTCTTATAATACTTTTTCAAAGTTTATTATTCTGACGAATTCATATATAATGAACCTCTCGTTCTTTCGACGTAAAATCGCTTTTTTTCCGCGATCTATCCCCTCGCGCTATAAGTCTCATTAAAGTTTCACTCTTACTTGGGATGATAATACGTTTTGTATTCCATTACTGATAATGCCGTATAGTATATCAACGCGAGACTCTGTCGCCGGCGTGTCTCCTAACTATAATAATTAATGATCGCGAAGGATGGCTATTAAGCCACCGGCTTCTAGACCGCAGCGAAAAATGTAAGCCTAATTAAACCTTCCATCGTGCATTGCACTCGTTAATATGACGGTTTCGTTCTGTTATGTTGTATTCATGTGATCATCGTTATTAGTGTTATTACTACGCGTATCTGTAGAATAATTTATTTAGCGTTATTTTCAAAAGTAATTCTTATTTCATAAAATATACACGGGATGTTCCATAACTCACGTGCACACTTTCAATAACAGATTATTCAATTTTTCTATATACAATAAATCTTCTTTGAAGTAAAATGTTAAAATACAGATATCAATAGTTTCAGGAGTTATAAGCGATTCAGGATTGAAAAGCTTTTTGTAAAATTTTGGACAGACTTTGGATGAGTCTATTTTTTTTAATAAGAATAATAATAAGATAGAAAAGAATTTCATTTCATGTCATAGAGAGTTTTATTACTTTTATCACACAAATTAATAAAAATTAATATGAAATGTTATTAACAAATATTTTCAATATTAGCAATAAATGAATTTAGCAGTTTACTTAAAGAAAATTTAAATGACAAATTCAGGAAATGAACGAGTCTCAGAAAAAGAAACAAAGTTTAAATAATTCTGACTACGTAGAGGAAACTTTCACTGTATTTACAAAAATTAGAACATTATTTTTAAATACAGAGTCGACATTCACGAATATTCTTTCATCAGCTAATGAAGATAATTTCGATTATTACGATAAATGAATAATTACGGCGCTCGATACGAGACGCAGTTGATCCAGGATGATTGGGGAGTATGTAACATTTTCACCGCAAGGCATAGGCTTTGTAAATCCGATCCGATTATATTGATCATTCTACGTAATCACTTTTATCGCTGTCCCTAATCGCGCGTGCGATCGGTCAAATATCTCTCCATTCAATAATCTAAGCTCGTAAAAGGGCCACGTTCTATCGTACGGTCTGTGTCCTTCTCTCTCTTTCCGAATAGTGCGAAAATGACCTCGTCGCAACATCGCTGTTTCGGGCGAGTTATCCGTTAGGGTCCTTTTGCCATAAGCGTTTCATCAATACGTTCCACTCGTGCACGAACGAATTTCAGTACGCGGTCTTCCCACAGACCGCAAAAGCGTCCAGTCGAGCGTCACAAACATCGATGTCAGCTCCACTTGCTGTAGTTCGTATATATACATTTCAGTCATTTTTTTTTCTCTTAGTGAAAGTATCAATCTTCCTTCTCGCGACGGAATGTCCTCGTAATTTCGACGTATTATTTATCAAATCGTCTAAAACTGCACAGGCGTGTTAGAAAAACTATTAGCGAAGCAAGCGATTCAGCTTCATGGAGATAGTAAAATTTAATACAACATTATCCATATTATAACGCAATTAAAGGCGATACAGCACGTTATGATAGTCAACAGGTGCATCGGATAACCCCGTCTACGTTCAAACTCGCGTTCCCTTAATTTTGTTTTTATGACAGAACAAGTAATTTGCGTTTGGCGTAATGGTCAAAACACCGCGCAGTTGCAATATTTCTCATATTTTACGATTTTTTTTTTGCAAGAAACTAGGTTTATCCGATCGATTGTGCACGAGCTGCGGTTTTGAATAAAAAAAACCGCACCAACATGTTTCACATCATCGCACGTCCTCGAATTTTACCACGCAAGTTTTTCATAAAGTTGAAAGGTGTCTATTCAATCGGAAAATGGTTGCCTGTTTGCCTTTGTGGGATATTGAAACACGCGGGAAAATTCTATCGTATGTATTCTTGCAAGGTCGACAGGTGTACCTACACTGTTTTGTTACAATAATAAAGATGTCGTTTTTTATTTCTTTATACCGGTAAACCGGTCAGGTTTATCAAACCATTTTTTGAAAGTATAATCAAAGAGATATGTAGCATTCGTTTCAAATTCTTTTTCTCGCATCCCCAATCATACTTAAATGCATTTTCCCTTGTGATTTGAGAACACGTGTCCTTATTTTAAATATTCAATTTTTTAATAAACTACAACGATAAATAATAAAAGCAAAACCTTTTTCAATATATTTCATGTAAACAAGAGGGTAGGTGCAAAATATAGTCCTGCGCTTTATGACTGACAATAGTTGAGTTCACAGTTTTCAAAAACATTCGAAAAACATCTGCTATCTATAAATCTTGTAGAAATACAATGTAGTATCTGCGTGTCTTCGTTTTTTAAAAAAAATGATACCGATACGAAAACAGCGTTAATAATTCTGAATACTTACACGTCGAGATATAAATATACATATGTATATGATAAACGACATGTCAGATAACGTCGGCATCGTCGATAGAATATATGTATTTTTTTTCTGTTTTTTTTTTTTTTTTTTATAGGACAACCTATGCGGATGAATAAAAGTGAATAATCGTTATAACGGGAGTTACGTACGATAGTAACCGTATAAACGCCCACCAATTCGTATGACCCTACGCGCCCATACGAAGAACGCTACTTATCGTAAAGCGGTTTAATGCCGCATAAAACGGACGTTCTTGTAAAGCGTCATACTCTCTTTTTCTTTCTCTCTCTCTCTCTCTCTCTCTCTATTTTCCCGTATAAAACTAGACGCGCCTGATTTACATTCTTTCGAAAGGAAGACGCGACACACGTGTAATCGCGAAAGGGGGTTGCGCTTTGGCACACATCCCGAAGGTCAGACGCTTTTTAGCAACGATGAAAGATATTGTTTCTCGTCCGCGTCGTAAGATAATGCGGACGACAGATATCGATCGGAAACTTGTCGATGTTATAACAGCAGGTCCTATATCCAAGATTTAAATTTCAAGATTTAAACTGATGGATGGCTCGTTGGCGCTTTTATAGCAGGAGCAAAAACTTTGATGATTATTCGAAGATTTGCTGGCAATAGGAATCGTTAATATTGACAGCAGCTGTTTAAAGTTTCATGAAAGGATTTGCCTGTAGCGTTGAATCGATCAATACGCGTAAAACAAAAAGTAATGTTAAAAATCCTTCCTGCCATTCCCTGTTTTCCGATGTCACGGAATATCGAAATAGTCTCGTACACACACACATACACACACACGTCGCAGTTATATACGAATCTACATGTTTATATCTACAGAAGAAATGGCGGAGAAAGTGCCAGCGGAGAACATCCACGAGCTGTACAGGCTCCTGTTGCAACGCAACGAGATCGACAATGGCTTCGGCGGCATCCCGTTGGAACATCTGATGATCCGGAAGTCGCAGCGATCGCCGTCGCTACGTCTTCGATTCGGTCGTTCTGGACCGCACCTCTCCGTAAGTTTTCACTATTATTGCTGTATTTGCTTTTATTTTTGCGTTGACAATACATAGACGTAATTTTGGATATGTTTAATTAGATAATATTGCCAGAAATATGAACTAGATATCATGTATAACGCAAAATTATAGATAGACGTTATTTTTGCATTAATCAATTATGGATTGACTTCATTTTAAGGTTGTATATTTCCAGAAGCGCGCGTTAAAAGCAGAAAAGCCCACTTTAAACAATAATTCGTATCGGGATATAATTCTGTTCATAATTTTATCTCGTGTAATACAAAAGGTATTTAAAGGATTAAAAGTACACATACATTAAAATATATATTAAAATACACACGGATTAAAATGGTATATAAAATTATATTATAATTATAAACTTGATAATTTTAATATAAATAAAATTCTATTTTCTGTAGTCTGATGCGAATTTATGGAGTGTCTAAAATAAACTTAAGGCTGATATTTAATGTGTTGTACGACAAGCTTTGTCGGGCGTACTGATTGGCTACAAGATAGAAGATATCTAGAAACTCGAAAACTTCTTTATCCTGTAGTCAATTAACTTGCTTGAAAAATTTGTCGTACGACTCTGAAATACGATGAAATATCAGCCTAAGATATTATTAAAAGAGGAGATTTTTATCTACAAAAAATAATTCTGAGCATTTTTTTGTTTATTTTTAAACGTGAAGTAAGTTTAAATTTTGAAATTTATGCAACACGATAGAGATATAAATGCTTTAAATGAAAAAGTCAAGATGTTGTAGGTTTTTTCTATCTCTAATATATTTTATGATATGCGAGCTCGGATCTTGCGATATGTGTATAGTGCACGGTAAAACATATTGTGTTTTGTATTATGCAGAAGACAAGAAAGGCTACTCCACATTTAGATCTTAGCTCCAAAGTAGCTTAGTAACTTTGGTAATACGTCTTATAAAAAACGCCTCTCTTTTTTTGCCTCTATTCTAATTTACCGTTGAACTATTCGCGCAAGTTTTATGTAACTAAATGACCAATATAATGGCCAGAATTAATTTGCAAGTCATTTGTTATTTGATTATTTCAGCGATTTATTTGAGTTGACTAATTAATGAGCTGACGGATTCGCGCAATTTATTACGAATTCGAATCATCTCCAACATTAAACTGATTAAAATGAATTAATTATAGTATATATATTATACAATTCTCTGTCCTACGTATTTACTATTTTTAACATCGTCTTTTATTTCATGTGCGTTTTGAAATTATATAGCTCACGCATTGCAGTAAGAAAGAAATTTTTATATTAAGCACGATACGCGCGACCGCGATTACAAAAAGAGGCGATGCTATAAGATACAGAATTAAAAGAATTTTTATAATTTCTCGTAATGTGCGTGTTTAGTACATTTTCGTGTCAGCTCTTCGAAATTGAATTCTCTTCGAAATGGATATCCTTGTTTTGCATGAATTACTTCTGTTTCTGAAATGTGCACAGTTTAATTCATAATGCTTTTTGAGTCCCCTTTGCATTCTATTCTTAATGCGGTGGGTATTCCCTGGGAGATTAATTTTCTCGTAATTAGTGAGAGTGACGCAGCTCTTGCGAACTGAAGTGTGGCCACGTCGTGCATGCCGGTTGTCTCGCAGGACAACAGGGATAGAGATTATAACATGGTAATTAGAAAAAGTAAGAAAAATGTTTAATGAGTATTTGGCGTATTAAAACGTTAATGAAGAGACTTGAATCACAGAATTTAATTGCTGTGGGTGGAAAATATTATTCTGTAAATGAAATTGACTTTGTATACACCATATGAAAATTACCGTAAATTGCCTGAAAATACATAAAAGTATTGTGCAGATTCGCCGCTCTTTATTCAATTATCTTATAATGTTATTTTTCTATATACAGCATCTTTATTTCGTTATCACTTTATGATTTTAACATGTTTTTACTAACTATTAACGTTCCTCTATGATAAATTTCACAAGATATTTTTAGTTCTGCGCAAAAACATGTTCTGTGCAGAAATGTTTTTAATTCTCCCTGGAAAATTGAAGTATCTCGGGATCCGTTTCAATAAAATTCATCTTTTAATACTTACATATATTTTATAGCATTCATAACACTAATTGTCCATATAATAACGCCCACGTGCCAGGATATTCCAAATTGACCGAACCTGTTCAAAGAGAGCTGATATATAAAAGAAATTACGGGAAACGCCCGCGTGTTCTGCACCCTCACATGTAAATTAATTCATATACGTATCATCTCTCTTTTAATAAAATGCCAAGGCAAATATCCAATGAAAAAAAAATTCATTTCGTCGTAGTACTTTAATGTAGGAAATGAGCAAATATTCGTACGACGTACGCAGGCGTATACGTTTGCTGAAAATAGGCGTGTTTCGCCTGCTTTTATCACATGTATATAAGGAATGCAATTTCACCTCGTAAAGATCCGTGATAGAATGTGAATTTTAATAAATCAATTTTATACTTTTTCTATTTCGATTTCAATTTTTACTATGTTACGCTCAGAAATTATGCGAAGACGTGTGTACAACGCGAACATTATGTGAGACATTATGTGAGACATTTGAAGGTATGTGCCATGCTCCCGTTCATAACTTGCAGTACGCTCGCCTAGTAATATATCGGGGAAAGAACAGATACGAAATTTTCATCTTCAAAAGCCCGGCTGAACGACATTATGCGCTCGACGAAGCGTACGACCTTTTTAACAGCAATATATTGTCACGTCTGTACATTGAAGAACGTTTTTTCTCAATGATACGACAAAAAAAACATCGCGTTCGATTGTATCGATGGAAAAGTCGTGGAAAATCAACATTTATCTTCTCTCGAGCGATGTTGAGAAATTATAATGTTAATCTGATATTTAATCTGACATTTTTGATGTTGATGAATATACCGATATATATTTAATGATATTAAATATCATCAGTATCTGTCCACCAGTAAATATCAGATTGACATTATCATAATATCATGTGATATTTAATGGTCTTAAATATCATTTAATATCACAACATTCACTGATATATATTTAATGTTGTGGTAGAGGAACAAATTTATATTCCGCGAATATTTATTCCATATATTTATTTGTGTCAGACGGGGGATAACTGCGCGACTCACAGTAAATTTCCAAATAAATCTCATCCGATCGAAATCTCTTTCTTTTATAAGACTCTCGGTTATCCGTTCTATATACTTAATAGGGCAATATTTCGTCCCCGTCTTTCGTGACTTGCGGCTAAAAGTGATGGCCAGAGACGAAGAGAATCGCGCGGGCAAATAGATATCCCGAGCAGCAAATTACAAATGACCGTAATAATTCAATAAAACTAATTTCTCCCCCAACGACACGAAGAGACGAGTGACTAGACTTTGCTTCCCGGCGGAGTTCGCGCGCGTTTGCCTGTCACGAGGGGGAAAACTTCTCGGTCCACCGCATTTGACAATTATCCCGCTCTTTTCTCCCTTTATGTAAAAAGTTCTTGGCCGTGGTTCGAGGGCGTGATACCGCAAACTTGTAATGTGTGCCTTCGCAATCACGACGGCGGATGTGCGACGAGTACAAATTCCCGAGAGTGACGTGACGCATTACTGAAATTCTTATCTGTATTAGCGCCGGCGGCGATATCGATCTGTCAGCGATTCGAACAGCACGTGGACATAATTCGCGAGGGAGGGAGGGGGGAGAAAGAGAGAGAGAGAGAGAGAGAGAGAGAGAGAGAGAGAGCCCACTTCTCTTTTCAATATCCGTCGCACTTACGTGTCATGCACGTACGAAATGACGTGGTTAATAATAATAACATTTCGTAACGTGTATGACACACCCCACATAGCAATCTCGAGAGATTTTCGGATATCCAGGGTGTATCCGCGTAAAACCTGAGGATATACTTAAGATGTATCGAGGATGTCTATTTATCCGCTTATAAGATATTCAACAATGGATATAATTACTAGGATGTAATTATATAACGAAATTTGATCTCAACAATATCGACTGGATGTTTCTAAATCCTATCTAATGTTACATGGGCTATTCTTACGTTGTCCTACGGATGACTTTTTAGTTTGGATCAAATCAGATAATTCCATCGAGATTTTTTGTTATGTGGGACAAAGTGTGTTGGAATCGAGAATAGCGTGTTTACATTGTAATACAACTCACGGGAATTAAGTAGATTATAATGATGCAGGAAAACAGTTTCCCTAACGAAAATTGCATGCTACAATTGCTACATTTTCCTATTCAATCACGCTGCGCAATTTCTTTCCTGATAAGATCGTATTAAGTATTATTCTCATCAAGGAGCTTTTCTTTTCTCTAATCGCCAAGCTTCCCCAAATTACGCTTGAGTATGATCCGTCACGGATTGTATATAGAAAGGTTCAGTATGAATATCACCCTTTTTCGCAATAAATTGTTTACAGTGATTTTAATAAAAAAAGCTTATTAGTTCATCAAAAATTAAAACGATTATCGACTTAAGTGGATTTACTGTTTCAACAAAGAGCTGTGTTTTAAAGACCGATAAAAAAATTGCGCAGTTTACTACGTTTGAAAAAAAATATACAAAATTCACACATTATTATTAGACCAAGATCTAGCCCGGGCCGTAAATGGCATTTTCTCTAATTTTGATTGTACATTTAATTATCTCGATCTATTCCTAATCGAGCACACGTATATAGATTTGGTCAACATAGTTTATCATTTTGTTTTATATCACTAATATTTATTTCTATCAATGTAGATTAAATTTAATCTCGGTTTACCTTACTTTTCATCTTTTTTCTCATTCTTAGGAAAAAAAGAAATAATTCAAATCGAGATTAAAGTTAATCCAAATTGGTAGAAACGGACATAAATTAGTATTATAATCGCATTGCATATTATACTCATGGACAATATTACATTTTCAATTCAATATCTCATTCTTTACACTTTATCTTGATGTCTCGCTTTTATATTTTATCTATGCATCGTCATGCACCAGACATGCTTCGAATATATATTCCCTTCAACTTCAATTTACTCGGGCTCGGGCACGGCAAACGAATCGCGGTACTACGCGCAATTAACTAGAATTTCACGAGCAATTAAGTAATTAGCGTCCTTTCGCGGTGTGTTACAGGCGGGAGCTCTGCCGAGACCCCTGACTGCAGCGGCTGCGGCGGGATACGAGGACAACAATTAATCGGCGGAGCTGATCCAAGCTGATGAAAATGCGCGACAACCTTCTCTTGTACAATATAAATTACGTATAATTCATTGTCATCGCATACCTTACTGTCCCGCGCGCGCGCTTCCCAGGCCAGCGGGGGGCATCCTCGAAATTCTCACATCTCTTACTCTTTAAAAAAAAAAAGAAAAAAAAACGAAGCAGTGAGAATTCGTGATCTGCGTAATCGGGCGATTGGTTGATCGGCGTGAAGAGAAGTCGAGTTCATTATTGTTTGCACGTTTTATTTGCGCACGCGTTAATCCGGAGCGACGCGTTCCTAGAACGACAGTTTTATCTTCGTACGGCAATCAATTCCTTTCGCTTTGTACGTGATTTTATGGGGTTCATGATACTGTGCAATTTAAGAGAAACACGTTCTATAAAATCTTTTCTGTACAATTGCGCCCGCCATTCTACCTTGTTGTCTCCGTTAATTAGTGGCAGCGCTATAAAAGGACACTTGGCCTAAGTCCTTCATACATTCGATGTGGGATAACAATCTAAATACTTCGATCACTACAAACGTAATTTTTTTCTTCTTTTAATTGTGCGCATCGGCACAGATATGTAGAAACTACTTGGCGCTTTATGCGCTAATGTGTATATCGAGTGTCCCAGATTTTCCGGGTAATTTATTAACGACGGATCGAGAAGTGATGAATTCGATTTTTTTCGGAAAAAATAAAAACGTTATTTTTTAATTGTCAACATTTTCTTGGCTAGCAATTTCCCTCAAATATATCTAATTTGATTAATGTACAGCATTTTATTATTTATTTAAACTTTTAAGCTTTAATTTACTAACAGCTCTCTTTTTTTAATTTATAATAAATAATTTTATAATTAGATTTTCCACTGAATATTCCTTTGGAAAAAAACCGAGAAATTTGTCGTAAATTTGATCTGCAAGATTATTTGGTAATTCTGGAGCATCATATAATTTTCAAAAGCTGGCCTGTTGGTCCATCAATCGATTAATAGGCGTAGTCTTACGATAAATGTGCCAAATAATATGATCATTGTATTATAAAAAGATCTGCATTATCTATGGCGTATACATAAAGCAGAAACTATAACGATTTAAACATTTCACGCGTAATGGGGATCGATCGCAAAACTTTGGTCCAAAATGCGAACTATTTATCAATATTATTATTATTCGCCAGAAAGAGGGTCGCGTCTCAAATATGTCTCGATATGTCAATTTGCAAAATTAAAAATAAATTATTATGTAACACTGTGTCACATTTATTCCTCTACAGCAAATGTGTTCTACAAGATTTTTGATCTCCCATGTATAAATCCCGCGATAGAACACTTTCCGTAGATATATCCGCACTGAGAAAAAAAATTTGTCAATCCCAAGTAATATTTAGTCCGATACGTTCAACTAAACATTTTAGTTAGTTAACTAAACATTAGTTAAATTAATTAATTCTTGATTAAAGAAACGAAATAAATTGATGAAACAACTAATATTTAGTTAACTAACTAAAATGTTTAGTTGAACGTATTGAACTAAATATTTCTTGGGATTAACAATTTTTTTTCTCAGTGCGTGGATATAATCCGTGAATGCATCATTTACGGAGTGGAATTACTGACAACGCAATTGTGTTAGTTGTCTTAATAAAATAATAATAGTTAGACTTCAACGCAGTCAAAGTTTTGACGCTCCTGGTGAAAATCCTCTTCTAAAAAGGAGATGTGAAGTTTATTGTTGCCGCTTTTCCGCGATGCCGATTGGTTCTCTTGCTGCGCTTACTTCATTTGCAGCTGTCATTGTATATTTTGACAGTTGTGTATAATAGGGTTAATAGTGAAATGTTAAAGATAAATAGCGCGCGCGTAGCGCGCGTCTGTAGTGTCTAGTAATTTAAATAACGGAGAAAGAATGGGGAAAGAACGAGGAGACGTTATAATTCATGTCGCTAAAAGGATTTTCTTATCTCCCAAATAGATTAAAAAGCTCGTAAAAACGAAATTGAAAACTTTCAGTGCTGGGAGAGTAGTTCGCACGAACTTCTCCGCGAGAAGAAATTGGCGACCGTTTACTTTTAGATGCATTATGTAAAATGCGTAAAACGCAGACTACTGCAAGATATTTTATTTTCAAAAGCTATAAACGCCAGAAAAACATCTCGTAGGAAGAAACGTCTCTCTTTATATTTCAAGGATCCGTCATTTTATTGGGCAAACGTGTACATTTGATTACAGAATTAAAATTCAAGCATATTGAGAATAAATTACAGTAGAGATATTACTTAACACCACACGTGTAAAGTAACAACTTATTTAAAACGTGCTGATCTGACAAACGAGCAAATCCTTTTGATAGATTGCGCCACTTCTTTATCTTCATGGCTCAGATCCCCGACGTTCTTGAGTTCCGGTCTTAGGAGAACTTGAGTTCGTACACGCTCCAAAGGAATCGACAGAGGCATCGTTAATATCCTCGACCAGTTCGTTGCCTCGTAATTAGCCATAAACTGAAACACACACGATTTATTCGCAACGCGCGTATGCTGATTACAGGCACGACAATTTCGTAAGTTTGTGTGTGTACCGAAGATCTGTATTTACCACTAAGGCGCATAACTTTGATTACTAACTTGATCAAAGCACGTGTCCTCGATGTGAAACATTATATGTGTGAGAGGTTTCACGATGGGCGAGATTTCCGGCAGATTAATCAAATCTACCTCCCTGCTTTCCTCGCCGCGACGTAAATTATTTAATACCCAGTCGGACGCTCGAACTAAATACTCGTATGCAATCTGCGATGCACAAAGATTGTTCATACACAATTGTTCAGTTCGTCCACGCGTGTTTACCGCGTAATTATACTAATATACGAGCATTTCCAATGACAGTCGCTTTACTAACTTTTAAAGAACGTCGCCCGATATTCGTGAACAACAATTCGTCCGTGTAAGTTTCGATGACGCAAGCCATGTTCTGTAATTCGCCGTTTCTCGGATTCTGATCCTCTCGCCTGAGGCTGTAATTAATTTTCTCTTTCTTTTTTTCGTTTAGATGAAATAAAATTAAAAATATATAAAGTTTATCAATTGACATTAAATTAGAATAAATATAATCGAGTTATTGGAGCAATTACTTAGTTATTTATGCTTACATTATATCTTGCAAATTCCTAGAAATTTTATTAAATGTTAAGCTTGGGGAAACTAAAGCTTCATATAATATAATGCAGAGCTTATCTAAATATTTCTTGCAGACATAAGCTCGTGATAACGCTACAGAAATTATATGTGACACGATACAACTTTTATCTCGTATTTATTCCGAGCGCGAGTTTATAAATAAATAAACAAATAAATCAGGAATAATCCAACGCGCATTTAGTATTATAATACAATTTAAATTCAAGCTGCAAATATAATGCATAATAATACGTATTATTATATGTATACACATATTTTAGTACGGAACATGAGAGGTAACAATCTATTTTTTCCCGGCAAATCTGTCTTTTAACATTTTATAATATTTTTTAAAGTAAAAATAATAATTCTTCGCAACACGTTCTTAATGGTACAGCAAACAGACCTAGCACTTTGATCAACAAACTCTTCTTAAGAAGCTACAAATTTCATGCTTCGCTTATAGTATCTCCACAAGCGATAACGATGCAATTTATGTATATAACATTATAGAAGAAAATTAATTGTTTATAAAAATATCACTACTATTAATCTGCAACTATATGTGACACTAACTGATACTAACACTATTACTATTAGCCTGCAACTACCAAAGGTAATAAATTATGGAGAAACTCACCTGTCCTTTACAAGAAACAAGAAAGAATCTATCTGCGACGTATGTTTATTGTCCTCGTCGATGCTACAAATCGCTTCAGCGAGCGCCGTTGCGGCGGTAGATCTGTCATACGGATTAAAAGGGCTGAGTTCACAACACGTGTCCTCGGAACCCGGTGTACTGCGGCGCTCGTTTTTGCCCTTCGTGGACACGTCCAGGAGGGTGGAGTACAGGGCGGCGCACAGCACCTGGAGCAACACGTTGCCGCCGATCGGCCGACAGTGCGCGGGAATGTTGTCGTTTAACGCGAACGCGGCGCGTAAAACCGGAGTCGAGGCAGTCACGTACAACTCGGCAAAGCACCCGATCGCAAGGGACATGGCTTGATATATACTGGCACCTGTCTGAAGATAATTTTGCAAAATTTATCTAAACGCTGTAACTCACGTGATGTATCGGAATTTTATAATTTATTTTGCGGCTGTAACGACACACTGTAGTAACGTACGATCTTGATATTATTTGGAATTTTAGCGAACAAAAGAGTTAAACATTGTTGAAAAAAAAACATAAATCCTTCGAACACGTCGGAATATTATTCGAATATTATCATATTACATAAGTATTGTTGTATAATAATTACTTTCGCGGCATCTAAAAGTACTTCGGCCACCGGTTGCATCATGGTCTTCAGCGGCTTTATCAGCGCATTCAACCAAGGTGGCCGCGATTGATTCCAGACCTTTAAAATGATAAATGATAATAGAATTAGGTGTTACGCTCATATTAATATTATATGTAAAGTTTTTGCAAACTGCAGTAAAACGGAATATTTAAAAATTTGACAAAGGGTAGATAAGTATGGTATTATAAAATGATTTTTATGTTAAAAGAGAGCCTCTATATGGAGACTACTATTTTAAAAATTGTAAATGTTTTTTAAAAATTAATTATGTATATAAAAATGTATATAAGAAACTCGAGAAAGTTTTTATTTTTCATTTTTTATAAATAAATTTTTTAGAAATGTAGCTCACTCTTAAAATATTTCAATATTTGCAGTTCTTATATATTTTATCTTCTATATAATCTATATATATAATAACTTTTTTCTCTTTTTGTTCATTAAAATAAAAGTCTAAATTATCATCATATTAAACCCATCCATATATATATTACGCAAACTGTATTTTAATGAGAATTGATATAAATTTACGCGCAATGAACTTTTCAAATGACATTTCGTAAAACCACACGACCTGTTGTCTGTCCAAATAATTGGACCAATTCGGATCCTGCTTCAGCGCCGGTATAATTACGTGCTCCGGCTCGTTGACGGTTACCACCAATACGTGGAATAAGCTGTATAATGCCGGAGTCGAAGTTATTTTTAGCGTTTTGTCACACGCCGACTCGCTGCATAGAAAACCGCTGCAACTTCTTTCGTCACTCTTCGATCTGTTAGCTGCGTCATTGTCGTCCATGCACATGACGCCCACGTTTTGACGTATTAAGGTCTTCAGCAACATCCTTGCCACAACGTAATTGCTCATCGATATCACCTGCGAGCAGGGAGATTCCTGTAAATCTAAAATTCTAAAGGCATGGTCTGTAATACAGGCTCTATATCTCGCTGCGTACACTTGGCGCGAGAGACACTATACCGTGTCTCTTGATGAATAGCTTCGTTAGTGGGATCGTGTCAATAATCACCTTCATTAACTGGGGCCAGTTAGGCTGAGGCTGATGTCTCAAAACATTCAACTCAAGAATGACAGCTTTATCTTCGGACAACGTTATAATATCAGCTGGAGAATCAATCGTACCTAATCCTAATAAATTTGGAGCGCATATCAACAGCCAAGGAGCAGGACCACGCCGGGGCCGCAATATTGCCAGATTTTCCAATCCATGTCGGAAGATCTGAATAACAATCACTCGTTCTTATAAACATAAACATACTTTCCGTGTCACGTTTAAATATACAAATCGAATTTTATTAAGTTCCAATGAATAAACCCGTTTTTATCTCTTCATACACAATTTTATACAATCTTAGTGTTCTTGTATCTTAATTTTACACAATCAGTACACGTTAATTTAATTATAAATGTATTCAATTAACTTATTAAAAATAAAAAAATAGCGTATTTTTCTTTATAGGTCTAAGTATCCGACACTCGGAAGTACCTGGTACAATTCCTTGAGGGGAGTGCCTCTAAGTAGCAAGCAGATTAACAGCTCGTTACATTTTGCGTGTATATCTCTTATTGCTGTCGGCAAGTTGCTCGGGCGTGCACCAATCATCCCGTCGCTACCGACACACGCGCCTAAAGCGAGGTAGCCCGTGCAGCAGAGCACATTAAAGGCGTCCGACCAAAATTGTTCGGATCGTACCAGTGTCGGTCGTCCCTGTCACAATTTCATATTTTTGTCTTTAATTTCTGTCCCAATTATTCACGCAGAGGTAAAACATCGCGCTTCAATAAATCGCAGATGAATGCGTAATGTATGCAAAAACGTGCAAAAGAACAAAAACGTATAGAAAAACTGATTTCACATTCGTCGGATCGGAATGTAAAATCCGCGTTTGCGACTCGCGGCAACGATAAAACATTCGATGCAGATAAAAAAACGCGAAATAAATTAGAAGATTAGTCGCGAGAGATATCTCTCCTGGCCTTACGTGAATGAATCGCGTAGTTATGATAGACAGGGACTCATTTAGCATCTCTGAAAATACGCGCTGTGCCATCTTAGGCGAGACCGTGTTCCATAAATCCGCCTTAGTACCTGGAAATATTAACATATCGTTTTTGCGAGACGTTGCATCGCGCGTAGCGTCATAAATCTACCTCCACGAAATATTAGTCTGCAGAAATCGAGAAAAATGAGCCGAGCGTTAGTTCTTTACCTTGCATGTACAACCACCACATCTGTATGACATAGGAGCATCGCTCCCTTTCGAAGAATGGTTTGTCGCTGTGCCAGCTGAGAGAGTCCGCCTCATTAAGAATATATAAGGAAATTAATCGACAGTGTAGATCGAGCAGTCTCTCCGCCACAGCTTCGGCCATTTCGTGGAATGCTTTGTGAGATTGATTAATCTTTTCGCTATTTAGAAGAGAAAACGATGATAGAGGTCGAACATGCGTGTATATAAAGTACAATAAGTTACTCGATCTTAAATACAAGAAGGACTAATAAAAAATGATAGAAAGTAATAAATTGAAAAATAATAAATTAAATTTAGGTCCACGTCAAATTTTAAGCACAACAAGATTATAAAAGAGAAAGTGTGATATCCCACAAATTTTTAGACTAACAACACTTACAATTATAAATAAAAAATACACATTAATTCTAAGTATAAACCAAAGAATTAAATTAAATGTTTTTTATTTTATTGTTTTTTGTAATACTATAACTTTCGGATGAAATAAATATTTTCAGTTATGTATTGCTGTACATATATTCATTTATAGTATCATAAAATCAATATTTTAATTTTTATATGCGAGATTTATATGCGAGATATTTATACATATTTATAAAACTTGCCGGACGATACAGAAACATCATATTGTTAATTGTTTTATGTTACAGTGATTGGAGTGTAAATTATTTAAAATCTATTTTATGTAGATATTTTCTGTCCTTGGGAAAGAAAAGTTTTAACTTGTATAAGGATGAGAGACTACAAAATGAGAGACGACGAATATATATAGTTTCTGTGTAAAGCACCTTGATTGAGAAGAAATTATTCCTTTTGCGTGCTGATTGTAACACCACAAACAGTTACGTATCAATGCCGCCGCGCCCAAAGTGGCAGTGAGCACGGTGAGATCGGCGTGATCCAAAGATTCCTGGATTAACATGTGTAGATGTTCTAAAAGATAGAAGTTTCAGGATGTTATCCCATTTCTCTTCGAATATTTTTAAATTTGTGAGTTTAAATCGTGCCACTATAAAAAATTATTTAAAATGCAAACACAACTTCCTTGCAGAGGTGAACATATAAAGCAGACTTAAAAAAGCAGAGGTCAGTAACGAATTATTTAATTAACTTGGAATTTTTTCCGCAAAAATTTAATCCAACGTCGAATTGTGGAGTAATTCAACACTGATTTCGGAGGTCTTTTAGAAAATTAAACCTCCAGAATAAAACGTCACATTCTTCGTATAATTTACATTTTACAATTTTTAAAAATAATTCTTTTTGCTAGTTTAATTATTAAAATATTAGTATAATACAAATATTAAAAATTTTAAATATCAAGTTTTTCCTAAAAGAATATAGTTTAATGTTTGCAAGGATGTATTCTTAATTTAATACTTTCTATAGACCAATTCTACCTATCAATGTACTCATTTTATGTATCGTATAATACGAAAAGTACTTAAAGAATTAGATTATCATATATATATACATATTAACGTAAGCCACTAGTAATTACAAGAATATAATATTTACTTATAATTAAATTTTAATGCAGTTTTTTTTACAGTTTTCTGACCGAGATTTTTTCTCTCCCGTGCATCTGCCTGACTTCTTCGCGCACTTGCCTACTTTAGTCATTAATTAATTGAGTTGAATATATAAAGTACGCTTCGAATTAATTCAACTGTTGATAACAGAGCAAACGCACAAAAATCTACGCTTAATCAAATGTAATTAAAAGTAACTAAATAAGAAAAAATATCGAATTTATGATTAAATGCATCTTTTTCTTTATGAGCGACTTTTCTCAGTTTTTCTTTGCAACTACTATTTCGAATGTTATATGTCCAACATCCATTTTTACTTCTTATCATCGGGATGAAGTGTACCTAGCAGCTGCTCGGCGGTGTCGACAACGAGCAGGATGAAATCGGACGGCTGGATCCGTTTAATGACACCCTCTTCATCGTCGACGCTGGACGCGCTTCCGTCCCAGATGGAGCTCAAACCGGAAGTGCGCTTAAAAGCGGCCACGAAGTCCGCTTCCCACCACGTGACGATTTTAATCGCGGCGAACGAGGCGTGCCGCGGAAAATCAAGCCTCCCGCCGCTGATGCGTATGCAGAGGGGTTCCCTTAGAACGGTTTGCATCTCCTGCATCGAAAATCGCGACAGATATATGGGCGACGCGAGTATAAAATTCCACTTTCGAAAATAGCATCGCGCGCGACGTGACTCGATTTGACTAAAGTATCCCCGTGTTGAACTTGATACATTTCGATTTAAAACAAATTTCGCACGTCACTGTCGCGATACGTATAATGACAAATAATTGAATTATTCGATTTGCAGATGTATTTACGCGCCGCGAGTTTCTATTTTCGAAATTATGGTCGATAAATCAATCCTTCTTCGTAATTAAATCACGTCGTGCTACGCGGCAAACGGAATAATTTCGAAACGGCACGCTTCCGATACGTTACGCGGCCGCCCGGAAACCACGAATGTAATAATCTACGCGTTTTGTACTAAAAGCCCCGAAGGTATCAAACTATCGCGAAAATCGACGTGGCAAATTCTATTAAATTACTCACGGGGCTGTGCAACATAGAAATTGTATTAACGATAAATGATTTATACCAGATAATTTGTACCTGGTAATATTGCATATCCCGTTGCAACAAAATTCTTACGCGATCGACCAAATTCCCATCTTCCATAATCTCCATTTTTGCTCTCCGTCTGTCGAATAACACAAAAACAATTATGCTTGGACGATCTGATTTAATCGGCTCATTATGCATAATTGTGCATGTGCGCAAGCAAATCTACGTGCGTTAAACAAAACTGAAATCGAAAGCGATCTCTTGATGTGACATAGACTTGTCTCGATCATTTACGTTTTAAAACAACTCTTCAACAGATGCTGATCTCATCTTAGTAAAATTTCGATGAAACAATTACCCAACAATTCAACAAAAAAAAAAAAACTAAAGTTAGACAAATTAAAGTAAATAAGATCTGGCTCTCGAACTAGAGATAAGAAGAATTCGCTTAAAAAATACAATTCAAGATATCTATCTCAATAAACAGAGTGTCACTAAACACAAATCTCAAATTCAATGAACAATCTTAAGTTGAAACCAAGCACCATTAGTTGGAGTCACTCTCATAAAATATATAGCAATGCATGTATTTTAAGCTGCGTTTTATTAAAAAGATATTTACAATATTTAAAAAATGTATATAAAACTATCAATTTAATTGTGAATAATGTATCAGTTGTCTTAAAGAAGGCATTATAATGCATATAAAACTCTGTAATTCTTAAAGATTAAAAACTGCTATAAATAATATATATCAGCATGTCAATATATATTTTAACATATAAAAAACAGCATGCTTTCTTTAACTCACATTTTCACAATATCTCGTATATGTTGTAACATAAAGCATAATAATAATAATAAATAAATAATATGCAGGATATGCAGGTACCATTATAGTGCTAATATGCAATATTATGACTTGACATTAAAGTTACTCACATGAAGTTTAATGTAGTTGCTAATATAGCACTTATATATGCCAATTTCTTCTTTCAGCTTTTTATATTAGTTTTATGTACAATTTTTGTAAATCAGATCTTCAGTAACATCTAATAGTCATTGGATAATTATATCAAGTGAATTATAGATTCGAACAATCGTAATTAAACCTTTATTAATGTTATTTCTTAGAAGAACTATCTATCAGCTTGATTCTCTCTACCGCTAAAGGAACACTTGTCAAAGCACGCCTCACTTCTCACAATTGCTGGTATCTCATTATTAAGTAGCTCATGTAAGGTTTTGCCATCGTGCTTGTATATCCATTGGCCATTTACAAAATCGTAACGTTTCGGTCCAGATTTCGGAGAAGAGAGCCAAATTTGCTTGTTCGGCGTTTGACGGTTTATAACGTAAGTACCATGCGGCTCACCAAATTTCACGGTCAACACACCATCCTGCAGCAAAAATTTCAAAAGATATATCATCACAAACGTACAAAAATAAGAACTATGGATTTTTCAATTAATATATACACATCATACTCCGTAAGATACATCGGCATCTGACAAATGCACTGCTTCTTCAACCAATTCCTCAAAGCACTCGGTTAATGAGTCCAAAGTTTCATTACAAATCCTCTCGTATTGCACGGAGCTAAGTTCGCTAAAAATCACGCAAATAATACGTTTTTTCTTCACATTAATGACACGTGCAGATTGTTACACATTATTGATTTGACGCGTCACGAATAACGTAATGATACTCACGTCGTAATTTCAGTATCTGTACTGAGATTTTTTATAGACAATTGCAGTAACGTTCGTGGATCTCTCTTTGAAAAACGTGTTGTACCATGGGTGACATAACCTGCAACGTAACTGCCGGGGTTGCTCGGTTGGAAAACGGCTCGTTTCTTGACCGAAATTCTACGGAGGAATAAACAGCGAGACAGCCTTGAGATTACGTCTGATCTCGTCACGACGGTTATCATGATAAATAGCTTCTCGTAGCAGTTTTATCGATTAAACAAGTTCTCCGGTTAGTACAGCGATACTCCTTGATAGTCTTGATACTCCTTTTGACGTATGTTTACACCGCTGCGTCGGTATCGTCACGTGCGAGACATTGCGAGATAACTTTGTAGCTAAGTATATACTTTCAACACTTGAAATGAAATAGATATATGTATAATTGGATGTTAAAGAGAGAGGAAAGATGAAAAATACAAAAGATTCAGTTGCAAAAGATAAAACCGTTATCAATTGTGGCAAATTGGAATAAATGACGACAACAAAGATTTATTCTTTATAGCTGAACTTTTGTACTCAATTCAGCTTCTCTCTTTTTTAAATTATATATATACTTATATATATTATTTAATCATATGTTTAATTATATACTGTAATTATATCTTTGATCTATCTTTTCAGGTAGTCTTAAAACCTTTGAAATGCCGTTGGAATGTCTTTGAGAAATGAGTGTTGTCTAGAAACACGTGACATTGACGAGCAGAATACATCCCCCAAATATACACAAATATATATGATAATTTCGAGTAAACTGAAAGTAATGTATACGTTTACAATATGTGTAACTTGAAAACCCTGATAAGTTAAACTTTAAATTGTATCTATTTCTTTTACTTTTTATTTATGCAGTATATATTTATTTATTTTTATAGTTTTTTTCGTTTTCAAAATTCCCCCAAAAATTTATAGTTATATAACAGTGCCAGTGCTCTGGAAAGTTATTGCTATTTTATCTTCCATAAATTATTTTGATCAATATATTTTATATTAAATTAACATTAATTGCATTTTTATTAAGTTTTTATTATTTTCTACTGATAGAGCCTATTATTTTGTCAAATTCGCTTTTAATACAATTAATTATCTATACCATGGCAATCATTAAACAAATTAGGTAATATTTAAACCTATTTATGAAAAAAGTGATCATTTCTTAAAATAATTATATTATATGTAATTTCTATTATCATATAAATATATTTGTATAAAATATATTGCTTTCACATATTGTTTTTTTTTTTTGCAATTGCCAATCAATATCTGGAAAACTGGGTAACGATTGGATGTATCTTCGTTTCGGGTATTTTGGATGATTCAGCACCGATGGTCCGCTGTGTCCGACAAGGGAATCCCAAAGACAACGATGAGGCGCAATCTGAATGACCATGACGTACAAGGAAAGCGTAAAGGAAGGGGCAAGGAAAGTGATGTGGAGGAAATATTAGTAGATCATCGAAAGCGCGATACATATATGCATGTATATGTCAGTCTTTTTTTTAAATACCATACGACCTCGGTGCTCGATAAATATTGCGTCTGTAACGTCAAGAATCGGTAATCGCGAACATGCTCTCCCGCGGAGTCGACCGTGCGATAGTCCGACTAATATTCGCACTAACAGGCATACTCGTCGTGAGACCGGTGTTTCCCTATGTGCTGCCAGATCCGACTTTCGAAGTGTTAAAGCCGCAAGGTCTTCGCGTCTCTATACCAGGTAAGGTTTAACATCGTGATTTACAGTGCCCTTCTTTTTAGAAAGGATTGTAACAGTCCCAAAGTTTTTTCTTATAAAGATTGAAGTCTAAAAAAAAAAATAAAAAAATTACCGTAAAAAGATGATCTTTTAAGCTACGCAACATTTAAAAAATGCCTGATTGAATTCTGTTACAGAAATGATAATTACTGTTGCATAATACATTTTTAATATTATATTATGAAAAGAATCTCATACATATAATTATTATCATATTTCTTACATTCATAGATAGATAAAAATATACGAAAAAAAAGAATTTCAAAAATTCTGCAAAATGTCTACATGCTGATCATTATATACCGCATGTTGCCAAAAGCAAAGATCGAAATATAATCTAGTCAAGTAATTCGTTTCTGCAATAACTACTTTTGGGATTACCTGAAACATAAACAAAAGATTAAAGAATATTCCGATACTTACGACTTTTCTTGGAACACTGTCTCATTAACGCTAAACATGTTTTTACCATGCTTTTATCATTGCAGAAAGATTAATGATTATGTGACCTTAATGATTGTGTCCAGAGAAAAATTTAAATCACAAGAAATTTTAAGCTCTTTCAACATGTGCCTCGTAATATTTTAAGTTTTAATATAATTAAATTTCTAAGAAAACAAATAATAACATAGGTTATTGATATAAATATAATACAATAATAACATGAATAATACAAATTATATATACATTATATTGTCTAAAAAATTAAAAACACTTAAAAAATAAAAATAAAAATAAAAATTTGACGTATGGTAAATATAATATATCCTAAATAATGAGATTAAAATAATAGAAAAGAAGAAATAGTTTCATATTTAACGATGATGCGATTAACAGATGCACCGGGTTTAAGAATATTTGGATTCCACGCCAACATCAATAAAGCAATTCGCACTAATGAATACGGTCAGATTGCCGGTGACGTCTATTTAGCAACAGACGGCCGCTGGACTTTCGAGGATCCGGACGTGACTATAAGAAATGGAGATGTACTTCGTTACTGGATTTATGCACAAGCGGATGGGGCTAGTTACAGGAAGAACGACCAAAGATGGACATATTCCCGTAAGATTATTTGCATAAACATGCAATTTTTTTCTGATTTATCGATAAAAAATAACGGCGTATTAAAATATATATAATACTTCAAATTAGCAACAGCGATGGAAAATCAAGCAGTTGACAGTCAAGAAACTACACAGAATTCTTCAAGATACGAAACTCCGGCCGAAGGCCGATTATTGCTCGAGGACAATTTCGATTCTTTTAACGAGTCACTTTGGAAACGCGAGATAAAGATGCCATTAGATCCGGTGGGTATATTCTGAGTCTATTATACATTGCAGAATTATTAAAAATACAATAATAATCCCTCTAAATTTATGTAATAAAATATCTATGTCCATATGAATACATATATGTCATGTGCGTAATAGAACATAAACATTCATTATACATTTCGTTTTTCATTCAACAAAGTTGATTGTTTCCAAATTAGGACTACGAATTCTGCGTATATCACAATCAGAATCACGAACAACTCGTGCAAGTTCGAAATGGTCAATTATCCATAAAGCCAATTATACTGGAAGATTATTACGGCGAGAACGCAACCGCGTTCGGAAGATTGCAGCTTAATGGGTATAACATAAATATAAATATATAAATAAATAAAATTTCTACATTTTCTTTTACTAATTATAATCTATCTTTATAGATGTACCAGTATGGTTGACTTCGAATGTACGCGGCAGGCATTAGCCTACAACATTCTGCCACCCGTCATATCCGCGCGTTTTACCACGAAAGAACGTTTCACCCTGCGATATGGAAAGATTGAAATACGCGCCAAGTTTCCCCAGGGCGATTGGCTGTATCCGGGTAATTAGATGCAATTTTTTTTATTACAAATAACACATATAGGGTGCGATTCACTTGGTACTCCAAACGCTCTTGGAAACATTTCATCTTTGTTGTTTATGAAATGTTAAACAAGGACAAAATGATGCTCTGAAGCGTTTAAACAGCGTCTACTATAGATCGCACCCATAATCATTAATCTAAACCGTTATTATGCAATAAAATCCATTGGATGTATAGTACCGTATAAATTAATCCGAATAAGACACAATACATAAGGAAATTTACATACCCTTTGTTCGCAAATAACTGCAAGATACTTGCCATAATAATGTCTTATTAATTGTACTAAATATATAAGTTAGTAACTATTTTTAATTACTAACATGTTATTGCAGCACATCTTTTCCATTTGATTGCAAATTGTTTTATTTTGTGTCTTGTTTGGATTAATTTACACGATATTATATGCAGAATTAATGCCAAAATATTTTCATTATTTTCGCCAATTTCTTATTTTTTTTACGGACTAGTTTTCTCTAACATAATTTTTCTAACAATATTAAATATTATTTAGACTTGATTTATTGCGAGAAATTTTGAATGGTTATTGACTTGTCACGGTCTATAATACTTTTCTTTAAAAAGATGTAGGCCGGTAAAAATTATCAAAAAATTCTCAAGGAAATATAGCCATACTTGCATGCAATGAATATTAATAGTATACTTAATCGTATACTTACACGCTGCTAAAAATATCCCGTTTTTTATTTAAATATTTAGTAGAAACAAATTATGTAAAACAGAAATTGAAAATGTATGTTGTCCTAATAAAAAGAGGTCAACCGCTCATTAAAAACTAAGATATGTAAGAAGGTCAATGGCCAAATTACAAGCACAAAATAAGGATGTTAGTTTAAAATAAAATCTAGTTTATTAATAACGGTATATTAAAAACAGTTGAATGTCCTTCTTATATATTGTCCCATATAATTTTATCAGAAATGTGGCTTGAGCCACGGTATTCTACCTACGGTGCGAACTATGCTAGTGGCCGCGTTCTTCTGGGTTTAACGCGCGGCAATGAGAACCTGGTGAATGCCACAGACGTTTCGAAGATCTATGACGCTAGAAGATTGGATTTCGGCGTGAGAATAGGTGCATCCCCTAACGAGATCCGGGAAATACTCGTTACGAAAGTAAGCGAGTTCGGGCCACGATGGACGCAGGATTTCCACGTGTACACGACCATCTGGACTAGCAATGGTTTCACGTTTTTATTGGACAATGAGGAAGTTGGGCGAATAAGCCCTGATGAAGAGGGATGGCTAAATGGTCTTCACACAGACAGAAAAGCTGCCCCGTTCGATCAAGAGGTAACATTACAGTGTTCTATTTCTGTTATTACTATAAAATGGTATTTATGTAATTCCTTACAGCAAGCAAACGTTGTTTTACTCTTTCACAATTCTACCAAAATACTTTATTTATGTCGCGCATTTGTTTACCTTATATAATACAAATTAGTTAATTAGTTAATTTCTTGTATATATCATTTCTTGAAAATAGTTATAAAATTTTTTGTAATAGTTCTTTGTTACACTTGGTGTTGGTGTGGGTGGAATACGTGTATTTCCGGATAATACGCTCAGTTCTGGAATACAAAAACCATGGCGAAATGTGAACGTTAAGGTATGGACACACACTTTAATATTATTTAATTTAATTTAACATTTCTTTTAATATTATTTAATTTAATTCATATTATTATCTAATATTATTTAATTTTTTTGAATCAATTGTCTGATAAATAATTCAACATATTTTGGTGCTTTATAGTTTTCGTTCTTAAAATGAACCTGTTCTTGATTGTAGGCAATGCTAAAATTCTGGAATTCTCGGAACAAATGGCTCCCAAGCTGGAGACGAAACAATGGCGATAATACTGCTTTTGTAATAGATTATGTCAAAGTGTGGACTCTTTGAATGAACGGCATACATTCACTTCACTTTTTATCAAGTCCATTTTCTTTTTTATCATTTGTATTATTTGTAGTAATAGATCGATTCTTTTTCGCGTGACAATTACGTCGCACACATATGCATTTAACATGTTGCTGTGAACATGAAGAAATAAGTCGTCAACAAAAATCAGTAAATCGGTTAACTTCTGATTCAATAATGATACAAGATTACAACGTTGCCCGCAATGTTATTGCACTTGGAATCTCCACGAAGACGCATAAAGTCCTTTTTACCCGCGTAACGCAATTAGAATCCTGTAATTGGACCGCTTCTGTTTCTATAAAAGGGTGAACGATGCTCCCGCGAAATCGGAAAGAAATTCAGGGTCGCCCGGAGCTGGTTTTACCTTTAATGATGCTTCCATTAGCTGCTCGGACGATCACCCTGTGATAATACTCCTGCCGATCATTACATGAACATAAAAATTTCTTGAACCAGCGCGAAGTTTACCAAGGGCAAACATTTTTTATAGAAAAGGCAACAAGTGGTACCATTAATCGCATTCGCTTTACCTAAATTTTTTTGTATGCGTCACTTTTGTACGCTCTACGCTTTTCTTTTTCCTAATGTGATAGCTCATTTCTCTATTCTCATATTTTCTGCGTTGTAATAAAATAGATATAAGATTGTATAATAAAAGAAATAATCGCCTCAGGTGTTTATTATATTCCAAAGAAATATTGCATCATTACATAGAATGCGGCATAGCTCGTAGCTAAAAATACCGTGTCAGATTTTGATACATTATGGCAAGTGTGTGATGACTGTCAAGGCCATCCCCCAGACTAGACTTTACTCGGCAGTTTCGTTTTCTTTATGTTATGGAGCTTCAAAAGGTCGTAAAAAAAAAATGTTTCCATGATCGCATAGTAGAGATCTATACAACGTAGGAGGAAACTAGATAAAAAAAAAAGTAAACGATAAGTAAAGCACAATGCCGACTTTCGACCTGGCCCATCATTCAAACCGGTTTACCTCGGTTAACATTGGAAATAAGAAAAAAAGGTCATCGTGCGGTTTCTTCCGTCTGCTTCGTGGTATCGCGACTGATGCTCCGGCCGGATCCGATTAATTTAACGTCTACGGTGCGCACGTGTTGTTCTACCGTGGCATAAAATCTCAACAAAAGTCGAACGACCTCAGTTCGGCTTTGGCGCGTCTTGTCCGGTTTCGTTTTTGCGGCCTCTTCTACGCGGCGAAACTTTTTCATCGCGGACAGTCGATCGATAGCTCCCGCGGTAGCTACCACGATTTCCTCTCTCCCACGGTTGGCAGTCAATTCAAACTGTTCTAACTCGCGAGATAAAAGTTTGCTAAATGTGCGTTAACTTAGTACTTTATCTCAACTTAACTCAGTAAGTCAGTAGTCACTTGCAAAGACCTCGTGACAGATAATGACACTGGAAAAAGTGATTGTTATTTTAGTCGTCCTCGTTTCGGCCACTGACTCTCTGGCGGATTATCATCATCGCTCAAGGCGATCGAGTAAGTGATTTTATAACATAATTTTCATGACATGTTATATTATAATCTTGAGTCTACGAGATATAAATGATAACAATTACCTGCCCCCCTCCAGACTATATAAATTTTTAAATACATCCTAAATCAATAGAGTCAGAATAATCACGTATCAAAAATGCGAAAATCTAAAAGACATCTAAATTAAATCAATTCTGAAGGACATTTTATAAAGAACGAATGATCAAAATATATTTTGAATCCTCTTTACGACATCTTTCAGATATGTTGCTTAGCTAGTGTGTGTGCATGTGACATCGATTTATTACCTATTGTACGCAAGCTTCAACAAGAATACATACATATTTAGCAAAGATGTCATTGAAAATACATGTTTAAGCGTTTTAAATATAAATAGTTTCCATTATCTATTTTCCATCTCACAATGCACGCAGTTGAATAATTGAAAAACTTGATTGAGAACGTATATTGTCGATACGTGCCGTTAGTAAAATTAACTTTACATACAATTATGTAAGAATTAGATAATTAAGTATTATACACCTTTATATGAAAATTTTATTTCAGGTAACGAATATATACTGCATAGATGTACAGCTACTGCGGAATTGATTAGAAGGCACAGGAATGAGGAGGTCACTGCAGTCAGCTCACGTAAAGCCGAAGATTCGGCACAATCGCAAACGCAACAAAAAGGTTCTCCGATTGATGCTACTCAACCTGAGACTTCTAAGCAAATTTCGAGCAGTGTTTACCGACGTATGACTCATATGAGGAGACGCGGCAATGGGCATGCACGTCGAATCATAGGCAAACACTTGGTAGATACACCCCTCAAAACCGTGAACATCGACGTACCACAAGATAGACCATCGGCCTTCAAGAAGAAGAATCCGTTACCGGAACTTGCGCGCAATATGACAGGCAGAAAGATCGATTCGTCGCCGCATGTAATAATTATCAAGTCTGTCGCTTAACATTTTTCCAATGACATTCAATTTACTCTGCCGCAGATTCTGATTTTATTGCAAATTGGCATAATTGTGTAATGTACAATTATTTATAACACTGAAGAAACTATGCACATCATCTAAGCATATGTATGATTTTTTTAGAATAATTAGAATAATTTATCGATCTTGTCTTTCTATGAGTATCATTATCGAATATTACTTTTGATAACTGCGGCTTCTTAAAATAAGATCGTTTTTATCATATAATTAAATGTGCGACAGCTAAGATAAGTTTTATGTTAAATAAATAAACTTCAAACATATTTTCTTACAGTTTATATCGATAAATTATCTACAATATGAATTATAGGAATAATTATTCCTAGTTACACATTATAGCTACGTGTTACACATTTCAGCTATACTCACGGGCAACTTCTCCATTTCAATCTGCAAGCAAAAAAAAATCCCAGATAAAGCAGATGTAAAATGATTTTGAATTTTCCTTATATCGTGAGACCTCTGACCTTGGTCACTTTCATTGCCACTCCTTCTGGCAAATTTCTTTGTAGATATTCTAGAAAAGTATCTGCTGTCGACCCGGTCAATTTCATAAAGTCCAGATAGCGATAGTAAGTCCTGATTTCATACTGAACACGGTGCTTTTTATGAACATGCGCGGACTTCAGCACAGTCCACCGTTCGTGGATAGCTTTACGCGGCGCTATGCTATAAGCGTGAAAATACATCTTAACATATCACCCAATTAGCAGTGTTAACCAACGTTAAATGACTATAGAACTTACTTTCTACCTATGTTGATATTCAAATGACCTGCGGCCATCATCACAAATTCTCCATAGCTTTTTAATACCGCTGGATCATTTCCCCTAACTTCAACCTCAATTTTTTTATACAACTTGTCTGGCATGCCCTAAAAAAATGAGCAATCTATTTACATACGAACACATTTGAATAAATTAACAGAAAAACAGCAATAACTCTTCGCAGAATTTACCGTGTTTATCGAAAGTGAGGACTGTTCCCTCGTTGAATCCTGTTGCTGCTGCTGCTCGTTCTGTTCTTGCAGTTGTGTCGACATGGAAAATGTCACGGAGGGTATGTTGTTTCGTAGATATTTTCGCACGAGAACATTAGGATATCTTGATTCATGTTGCACGATACCAGCTGCAGCATTTCTGAGAAGAAGCGGTATCTAACAAAACGTGACACGGTTATACTTAACCTCAATCGCGACTTTCATTAACCTCGTGTTAGCTTTTATGAAGATACCTTGGACAGGAACATTTCCTCCGTGGTTATCGGCGAATGGAGCTCTAAATTGCGAGACGGTCTCCAGAAATTTTATGAATTTATTATTTTCGTATTCAACGTAAACATATCCATTCACCTGGATACGTTTAGCAGAACGGAATACACGAGTTGCCGCTTTCTATCAGCTGTAACTGAAACTAATTTGCTGGATCCAGCGGTTATAACCAATCACGTTCGCTTGCTGCTCAACAATTGCATATGCATAACTGTAGTTGTTCTGCCGAACACAGATGCATACACAACTCAATGTGCTGATACAACTGCAACTAGAATTGTACAACAATTGTGTAATATGTGTATGTAATATGTAATCGATCGTCACCGTGTAGATATAATGTTTATATTACAAGCAGCAATAAAATAAAATTCTATTTCCGCAAAAGGTTGCGAGATTGAGCAGAATCTGTTTAATGTCCAAATATCGCAATATTAAATTTATTTGATAGATGAAAAACTAATTGAAATTACAAGGAAAGCTTTTTAATACTTGTTTTAACAATTTTAATAATTAAACATTTACTAATCTAATTTGTTTAATCACAGAATAGCATGATTGATTATGTCGGGTTAAAGTGAAAAATATATACAGCTATATGTGCATACAAAACTAAACTCATTTATAAATTAAGAAGAGAAAAACATTTAATGTATTTACATATGTGTGTTTATATTCACAAAAATCTGAAGAAATAAGTTTTTTATATCTTCAAAGATTATGAAATGTTTAATTTAATACAAAACAGATACTATATGTATAGCACATTTATATCATATATTTAGTTTATGATAAACAATATCTGTTGTAGAATTTTATTCAATTTGTCTCAAATTGTTACAATTTATATTTAAAAAAATAAACATTTTTATAAATTTTTAAATATAACACACATAATTTTAAAAATTTTAGTTATGAAAAATATAAGATGTTAGCTTGAATGTAATTTATTTTTGAAAATGCTTCAATGAGAGATACAGTCGGCTTATTACATACGTACATACATATCAATATCTATCAACTTAATTAATGTAAAGTTATGTATATACAATGCGCCTTATGCATATAATCTAATTTTATTTCTCTCATTACAAAAATAATGTAACTAATTAATAACACTCGCATGAAAGCTAGGGATAAGTAGTTTTTTTTACTTAATTGAATTACACATTGACATTAAAATGAATGTAATTTGTTTCAAAATAAAATTGTAACATTACGTGAATATCACTTGAAACAAGAAGGGAAACAGAAAAGCACTGTACTGTTTCATGAAAATCACAATGTAAATCACAATAAAGATGGATATTTTAACATATTCTGCAATACATAACTTTATTCGACATCACATATTTATTTTTTTTTTTGTATTTTTCAATACCTATCCAAAAAAGACCCATGTGTTTTGCTCTATAAACTAAAACGTTGAAATTGAAATGTTGAAAAGCGATGCTAACAATTATTACTTTGAGTGTAACATAAAAATATCTTATCTAACGTCGATCCTTAAACAAATTGGGCACAAAGGATCGCTGCGACTGAAAACCATAGTTTGATTGCCATCCAACGTTGGTTCCAACGTTGGGTCCAACGTTGGTTCCAACGTTAGAGCCTCCTTGCCAATTGGATGATGGTGCCTTCTTATTCGTATCGTTTAGAGGTAACCAGCGCGTGTCGTTTATGCTCGGATTATTACTGTTTTGGCATAACGATTTCGCTGGAAATGTTTGCGACTTGTTTTGCCAATTATCTTTAGATTTAGCCCAAGAATCCCCCTTGTCAGCTTCTCTAAACCAATTGGTCGACGATGTAGCCTGATTCGTATCGTTCCACCTTTCCTTCGACCCAAGATTGCTTTCATCGCCCCAGGGATCCCTCGCGTCTTCCGGAAGGTCGTTCCAATCATCTTTGTCACCTTGATTCCAATCGTTAGATTGCTGTTGTTCCCATCGCGGCTTGTTTGTATTCATCCACGGCTCCTTGTTGCGGCCACCCAAACTTTCCTTGCCCCGATTCCAATTTTCACCACTGGTTCCCGATCTAGATGGACCGGACCATCTATTATCCGAAGTCTGCCATGATTCTTTCATACTGGGTTTTGGAAGCGACTGCTTCGCATTCCATGAGTTTCCATGAGATGAGGAATCTCTGATATCCCAGGACTTGTCTTGGTTTGCTGGCTTGCGATATCTATCATTATCAGACGAAGGCTGCCAATTTCCACTCGTTGTCGGTTGTCTCTCATTATGCCAAACGTTTTCCGGTCTTTCATTAACGGACCGTTGCCAAGTGCTGCTCTGTTCAATAGCGCCTCGACTTGGTATGTCCCACTCATCCGCAAATCTGTTTGGTGGCGAGTTTTGGCGCCTTGGAGGAGATAGCTGACGTCTTGGAGGCGATTGCTGCCGTCTTGGAGGCGAGGCATTACGTACATGTGATACTCGATGGGGCGAAAAGCGTCTCATGGGAGGCGACTGATGCCGCGGTGGAATCATGTCTCTTGATGGTCTTGATGGAGACATAATTCTGCCAACAGGCGATATAGGTCTTCTTTCGGGAGACGGCTGTCTCGCGGATAACTCATACCTCATCGGAGATATATGTCGTCTCGGTGGAGACAATTGTGGCCTTGGTGGCGACATGTGCCGTCTCATAGGTGACATTGACCGGCCTGAAACTGTCATTGGTCGCCTTGGTGGAGATATCGTTCGATTAACAATAATTGGTGAGAACGAACGTCTGGGTGGCGACATTTGATGTCGATCCTCAGATGGAGACATCATTACCCTTACTGGCGACATTGGCCGTCTCTGAGAATATTCTCGATGCGGCGGAGAGTCATGTGGTTGATACGGCCTATCTGGGGAAAGATGTCTTCTAGGTGGCGAGCTCGGACGTCTCGGTGGTGATAGTAATGGACGCTTCGGTGAATATCTATCTGATGGTGGTGCTCGTTGTTTAAACGATAAATTCTGCTTTTTCATTGGAGAAATAGGTTTTCTCACAGATCCTGCATCGTTCCAGCGATTTTTGTCAAAACCCTTATTTCTATTCCAAGAATTATCTTGATTTTGTTGTCTATTTTTGTAGTCAAATTTTTGAGAAAAGTTAAATTTGTTGTTATTAGGTTTATTAAATTTTTTTCCTTTTGGCATCACCATATTTGGCTCTAGTGGTGCTAGGTTATGATATTTTTTAAATTTTGGCTTGGGAACCTCGGTTTCTAAATATTCTTTGTTCGCTGTCGTGATAACAATAGCCTGAGCACGGGTTTCTTGTACAAATCGACCTTTCAAAAGAGGATCGTCATCAAGGTCTTTTTTGGCTTGAGACTTTGGTTCCGGCTCAGGTGGCGCAATGCGATCCCACACTGAACGCGGCAATTGAGTTTGAAGTTTATTGGTTTGATCGAGAACCAAACTTAATACATTTTTTAATTCCTTAGCGGTCGTTGGGTCAACCATGGGAGATGGACCGCTTAACTTTTCTTTGGCTGCTTCAAGAATATCTCGACTTTCATTCACCTTCTGTATTAAATCTGTGTCAATTCGGTTACTCAATAATTTTTCTCTTAAATCAACTTGTTCTTTCTCCCTTGTTTTTTTCTCGAATAATGGATTGATGCGAAGTGTTGAGTTTTCATGAAGCCAATTCTTTTTCTTAACTGTAACATCTGATTAATAAACAAAAAATTGATTAGATGTGAGTATACAATAACTTTATATGTCTATTAGTTTTATACCACCAAACTTACCCTGTTGCCCCAATTTAAATCCAGGATTTTCGATTTTCTTAGACACTTTTTTTATTTCTATTATTTCGGGCGAATGGTCTCGCTTCAATTTTATTTTGCCTTTTACTGGTGAACCTGAACCGCTTTTCACTGGTTTGGTTGTCTTTTTTGTGAGAGACGCTTTGGTTTTTTCCACAAGTTCGGGTTTCGCTAATGGATTCTTTCTTAATTGTACATCAACATTTTCAGTTTTATTGATTATTTTCTCTAAAGCCTTAGTGTTAGCCAACGACTTATTTTCTTCTTCCAGTATCTTGATAAACCATGGCTGCGTAAGCCTATGCATGAGTCTACGTTCCATTAGAATAACTACCTCGAAATGAGGTCCAGTAGGCAACGTATCGACGACACATGCTCGAATTGGCATGAATGGATGACCGAGCCCATTTCCCATAGGTCGTGCAAGTTCTAATATTGCTCGAACCGATTGTTTTGTCAATGTAGTGACCATTACAATACGACGAAGAGAACTGATTTTTCTTAAGCATGTCATTACTTCAATAGCTAAAAGATATCATAATTTTAGAGTTTTATTATTCGTAAGTTGTAACCGGAATGCTAAATGTTATTGATTAATCGCCAATAAAACTAATAATATTAAAAACCAACAAAAATCGATTTTGCGTACCTTTACCCATATTGGTGCCTGCATTGACTATACAATAAGTCAGACGATTTTTATTGTGTAAATCACGCGCAGAATCTAGTTTTTCTACAACTTCAGATGGAGATCCCATTATGAACGATGCATTGTATATGTTGTTCAATTCACACGTCATTTCAGCTTCTTCTATTTCCGAAGGTGAATCAACTCCTATCACTTCTCGACATTTCTGTTATAATGCAATGATAGTACATTACTCGTTCCATTAATTTGCTTAACATTGCGTTTATGTATATACATAACGCATGATGTTAAGAGTAATACGTCAATATGCCTCATTTGAGTTGTTTAATAATGCGCTTACATACATATTTTATGTAAGTTACGCAAGTACTTACAGATGCTATTGTAAGTCCAATTACGCCAATTCCACAACCGATTTCAAGTACTGTAACTTTTGGCGTGGGTTGAAGCATGTCCGAAACTGCTTTAGCTACATTCCATGCACCGGCAGCGTTACACCAAAAGTTTGTCTTTGGCGCAAGCTGCACTTTTAGATTACCCACCATTTCGTCTAGAGCTTCTGCTCCCACTAAGAATGTTGTAACGACTTTATTGTCGCGTCTGAAACGAATGTAGTGAGATATGCAAATTTCTGCTATTTAGAGCGTAGTTTATCTTGTTTTTTTTTTTATCTAGGCTCTTACTTGTTCAACGATTTGCAATAGAGAGATTTGACATTACAATTCTTTCCAGGACCAGACTCATATGTCTGCTTTAAACGATCCATAATGCTAGGACCAATATTTTTTCCGGTTGCAAAGAGCATGAGTTCATCCTTGCTATTGCAACGTACTAACAAATACAACCATAGTAGTCTGTTATCTTGATCTACATTTTTTTTCATGTCAACATCCATAGATATGTTATCCAATGAATTCTCAGAAACTGTGTCTTCAGTCAAAGTTCTAGTTGTTTGAAGAAAATCTTCAAATATCTATGTACCAATATAATCATCAATATTATAACTCTTATATAATCCTTGTATTTAATATAGATTATCTAATAAGTTATGCCTTTTTAGTAATAAAAGGTGTATATATATATATATATATAATAGTGTTGGACAATATCTATTAAAAATAAAAATAATTTAATGCGAACACTTTGTTGCGGCTCTGTGCCCTATCATTATTTATGTTTGATCAACCATGATCTCTCGTTGGACGGAGTATATATATATTATATACACACATATGTGTACGTATATTTGAATTACATTAAATATATACATATATATACATATATATATCGTTCATTTGCTACGACAATGACATAACTCAAAAATTGTCATCTTTGAACTGTTTGCAAAAGAAGGGTGAAAATTCAATACACTGAATGAAGAGCTAATTATAGCTAGATATTTTTGTTCTTCTACAATCAGTTGTTTGTTTTCGCTGCATTTCTGAACTAGTGCAATAAGTTAGAATGAAACAAATATATTTTCTTTCATTCTAACTTATTGCACTAGTTCGAAAGTGCAGCGAAAATGAACAAGCCTAATGATTCAAAACATTCAAAACATTATTTTTTGGAAAATTTTGTTTTCTGAGTCATGTCATTGTTGTAGCAAATGAGCGATATACATACACATACATACATACACACACACGCACACATGCATATATACATATACATATGTGTATATGTTTGTAATTATTAAACTATAAAAATATATCATATTATTTGTTTGTTGTGTCATAAATTATTATCATCTTGTTACTAATTTATTTCTTACAAAAGTTTATTTTATAAATAGATAAACTTGCATATCTGTCTATATATGGATCCAGCTTTTAATCAAATATATGATCTATATAGTATATGTTAATAGCACATGATAAATTAGATAACATTAGATAATTCTATTGTTTTGCATAATTAAGCATATATTATTTTATGTTTATTATTTATATCATATTATAGCATTATTTAAATCATAATATTTTCCAAATTATATGTATATTCTTTTTGATCATCTATATAACTGACTACATCTTCATTTGCGTTATAGTACAAATAACTCTGATTATCAACGCATGTCATATGTATATGTATCAATAGTCATATTTTTCTCTTTTTTTCCAAATAAATTCTTATCTATTTGACGTAAGTGTGATATGAGAGAAAGTATTTTTAGTATATTTTTGGTATAAGGATAAACATATTGTACATTTTTTATAATATTTTTATTTTTATTTTTATAAATATTTATATTTTTTAGATTTTATGTATTTTATATAGTTTGTTCAATAAAAGAACATTTGTGTATCTTATATGATGGAAATTCCCACCAGATACATTTGCATTGCATTTATAGCAATATGCAAATTGAATTTTTATACATGTCCTCTTTCTCTTTTCCTCTATTCTTATTTTATGCATATATATGTATATATATTATATATACAATACAATTAATCATATGCATATTCCTTTATTAATTGCTATTAGTGCTCTATTATCAATCATTCAATTGCAATGCAATTAAATTTCCAAAGGCTTTCTTTTTTTTATTTATATATATGTATGACTATTAATGTTATATACTTTTATAATACATATCATAACAATTCAATGTATCACCTTCGAAATGTGTTCTGTTATAATATGGGTTTTATAGATGATTATTAATAAAATGGGATAAAGTATTTTAAACATAAGTAAATATCTTTCTTTTACAGTTTTTTACAATATATTAAGTAGATTTAAAAGATAGAAGAGTTACTCTATCTTTTATTTCATTCTATTTCATTCTATATATTTGTTTTATGTATTTGACATTATCGTTCATAATTATTCAGATTTCGTTTAGTTTTTACAAGATAGATGTTCACACACGTCTGCATGCGTATATGTTTTAAAAGCTGAAGATTTTGTTAATATTTTGTGAATAAATGTATAAATTGCATTCATATATAAAAAATATAAATTAATCAAGTTTTTGTTCGTTTTTTATTTTATATAAAAATTATATAAAGAAAAAAAAAACGAATAAACTTATTGTAATAAATTTACCTTGATCGCCTTTAATACAAAAGATGGTAATTCACTTGCATTATCGATACCCCCTATTCCAATTTGTTCAAGGTACCAGACTGTTTTGAAATTATTGCTACAAGAATCTGAATCGATCTCTTGTTTTATTATTGACTCCTTTTTTCTGCCTACACACACATATACATATCATATTAGACATATATTACGTTTACGCGAGCGTTATTTCTGCAATAACTTACGATAATTCACTCTGCCTAAACGTGGAAACTCTCGTTTACGCGGAGTGAATTACTGTAAGTTACTACAGAAGCAACGCTCGCGTAAACATAGTAATATTCTACTGTATATTAATAAAGATTATTTTACTTATATAATTATTTATATTTGTGCAATATATCTTATTCCTTTATATAAGAAATCAATACAGAATATTGTAATATAAATATATAAAGAAACAAAATAAAGTTCTTATTTACATATTAGCTGAAAATAAATTTATTATGTATTTATATGTAATTTCTTGCAAAAATTCTTTTATTAGAATAATATTCTGATAGATATGAATAATGTTATTAATAATGTTAAATATGTAAACTATATAAATCCTTAAATTAATTTAAAAGATTATCAAACGTATAAACTTACCACATTTTTGAAATGTGTGCTTGCTTCGAACAAAGTATAATATAAAAAATTTCAAGATATTATTTTTGTACTTACACTGAAATTTCCATCGATTGGTATTTGGTTTCTTTAACGAACAACGTCGGATCGGATCTATCTTGCATATAGGTGATCCTTCCATCTTTTCTGTTCTTTCTAACCATTTCTCATAAGAAGGATAAGAAACTGTTAACACTCGAGCTAACTTTGACAGTCTTTCCCTTAAAAGAGCATCTTTCTCTACAAGCTGGAAAAAAAAAATAATTTTCGTGTACAATAGGACAGTTTTTGTTTACAGTTTTACAAATTTTAATACATTTAGAGTTACAAAAATATGAGATTTAATATACCTTCATCTCATACCACTTATGCTCTACGAATTCTTCCTCGATCACTGTCACTTCTTTCTCTTCCTCCTGTTGTTCTCTTTCTTTGGTAAACAATTCGGATTGATCATTTTCCCTCATACACTCGTCTACACCAAAGGTTTCAGGATCCAACTCAATATTTTCTATCACGTCTAAATGATGCATTACATCTTCATCTGTTACTTCCTTTTGTCCATCAAACTGATCTAAGTTAATATCAGCAGTGAAATCAGTAGTATCATTGTTCGACTCCTCATCACAATCCATCGGAACCAATTTATCCATGTTGTTATCGTGAGATTTTATCCCACCTGCAATTTAATAAACATTTTATATTGCATAAGAAATGTTACACATGTAAATTCATGTTTTCGGCGCTGCAAGATTTGACATGGTTATCGATACTTTTCTTGATCTTAAAATATGAGCAAAATTATTATCTATTTCTCAGTTTTTATAATACTCAAGCTATAATTATAGATTAGAATAATATATTTGATAGAATTAGTTATTATAGTTGTAAACCCTGATAAAAATATTTTACTGAAATAATCTCTCAAAAGCTTATTTCATTATTACCCCATAAGTTTCATGATATCTAACCTAAAAGAAATTTTGTTATTACTTTTCAATAGTATAATTTAACTTTCTTTATATTTCACAATATCACATTACATTTCATAAGAAAAATCATTATTCATTTTGAAGTATATTCAATAATTGTTCAATAACTTTTATTTCACTTTTCATCGATTTCATAGTACTTTCAGCGGGTGCCTCTGATACAAATATTTTGCTGAAAATACTAGGAAATTTATGAAAAGTAAGATAAAAGTTATTGAAAAATTACTAAATATATTTCAAAATAAATAATAATTTTCCTTATGAAATGTAACGTAGTACTGTGAAACATAAGGAAAGTAAAATTATTGAAAAGTAATGACAAAATTTCTTCTGTTAAATATCATGAAATTTGCTGAATTTAATTGCAAAAACTAAATTTTTACTAAAATATTGATGGAATAACAATAAAATGGGGTCGATTGAGAGAGAAATTCAGTAAAATTTTAATATATTTTCAGTAAAATATTTCATCACAGAATATGTTCTACGAGCGTATGTTCTACAAAACTCCAGAATAATCTTCTGTATCTTACCAGCGTCAGCCTTGGAATCTTGTTTCGCTGTATCATCAAACTTTAGACAAGTTGTAACCTCCGCGGCCTCTGCCTGCAAGTCTTTTGTCGTTTCAGGTGTCTCTACGGTCTCTACTGTCTCTACTTCCGTGCATTCATCTATTACCTCGTAGTGCTCTTCTTTGTTTATAACTATCCCGGTATCTTCTATAAAACATATGTCAAATTGCATATAAGTACCAAAAAAATGATTATACTTATATGTATGTGGTTATGCCAATAAATAAGCATTTCATGAATATTCCGTTTCAAGTAGGTTTTATATCTCGCAATCAGCTTTCGCGACAGCGTACAGAGACATTTACCCGTTAACGAGGAATCGTCCATGGCTCCAATTCGTGCGGAAACACGAGGTCGGCCGAATGCCACTTGCGGGCAAAAGGCTTTATCGTCTTCCGAGCTGCGAATGCTGCGATATCAACAATTACACGACCGTATGACGTAATACGGTGACTGGCACGAGAAATCATGGAATAATTGGTCGTGCAGGCAGCAACGTGCAGCAACGTTACAACAGCTTAGATTAGGATACCCACACGTCTTCGACTGTTCGGTTGTTTACGAGAGGCAATTCTTACCGTTTGTGAGCTCCGCGTTTGAAAACGTGCATCAAAAGAGACGCGTCCACCGCGATCTTCGCCTTCAGCTTTCGCTCGCAACGTTCTCGCACACTTCTTGCTAATCTTGCTTCGCACTTCCTGGTATCGAACGGATACCATGAAATATAAATGAATCTACAGGCCTAGCTTTTTGTCGCGGCCCTTCGCTCTTTAGCTATTAGCACTATTAGAAAAAAGATAGATGTATAATCGAGCGTTGGAGAGAAACGAAGAGAAGATAGGAAGTACAAAGAGAGCAACTGCGGAGAACATGCGTTAACGATTCTCCGAACTACTGCGTTCTTAAAAACATCGAGCTGTAACTTGACGGGGATAATCTAACCTAACCTAACTAGGGAGTTGTTATCGGCCGCGTTCAGCAGACACAATTGTTGAGTTCGTCTTATCAACACTCTGCGTTGATTGGTTGGTTCTAAAAGTAAGGAGCCAATCACGTTCGACTGTTACTGAGCGGCTTGGCCTGCTGAACGCGCTTATTGTTAGATTAGTTTAATTAATAATTAATTAAAGACGAGAAACAGCATGCCAAATAATATTACAATATAAATTACAAAATTGCCTCGAGTAGAACAAAATGTTAATGTCATTTATCGCCTTGTGTACCTGAAGCTAATTCGCTAGATCCAACAGTAATAACCAATCGCAGTATTATATATATTTGATTTTTGTGCGAAATTATGAATCTTCTATCTATCGGGAATTTTTCATGGATTTTTATAAAAAGGATATAATTCTACGTTCCAATCAGATTCAAAATTAGATTTTAACTAATATATATACTTAATGTACAAATACATTTTCCTATAGAAGAAAAATTGATTTCTATCCGTCCGGATCAATTATTTCTTTTGAAGTAAGGATTTGCAATATAAAGCGGATTATAAAATTAAAATTAGGATCTATTGTTTTATTTGGATTGTTATGTGCAACAATTGGTTAGAATTGTCACGTCATAGACTGTAAAAATTAATCTGTTTAATTTTTTTTTAATCTAATAATAAATAATATATAAAGGAATAATTTTTTCAATAGAAAAGGCTCAATTTCTTCAAAATATTTGTTTTTTTTTTATTACAATTATTAATATTTTACATTAGCAATTTATCCCAATATTACCTCTCATGTACATACAATATGTATTTATTTCAACACACAAACCTTTATAATTTACAGTTCTGCAACTCTTAAAAATGTTTTGCATTTTTGTTTGTTTGCTATAATATATATTTAACAAAATATTAATTCTAAGCGAATGATGATCTCTTTGTATATCGCGTGTAATGATTCGGTCAATTCCTTGCCCCTGTTCCATATGTAAACTCCTAACCAATTGTAAAAAGGCCTTCACACATAAAATCGCGTAAGAACGTAAAACGTAAGCGTAAGAAAATCGACCAATCCCAATCAAGTATTGTGCTGTCCGTAACCACAGTAGGGGAAAATACTTCATTGGGATTGATCGATTTTCTTACGCTTACGTTTTACGTCCTTACGGCATTTTATGTTTAACAGAGAAAAATAGAGAGAGAGAGAGACTGCCGCCCTTCGAATTGTACTTTTTTACAACTTTTTCCGGGTACATACATACACCATTGGAGGCACCAATGGCACCATGCGCAGAGGGTAGTTCGGTGCGTCTCGGTTGAAGGGCGCTTATATCGTCAGTACAAGGGCGCAGACGCGCGTCTTATGGATTTTACCCCCTCGCGTCGGGGGCGACGGGCGACGGGGCCGTCGGGTAAGGTCCTGCTGGCGGCCCGACGAGAGCCGGAGGGGAATAGGGCGAGGAGGGAAGGAGAGGGTGATTGTGTTCGCGCGGCCCGCGCTCGTGAAAGGGAGAAGGAGCGATGCGCGCACCGGCCGTGGAGGTAGGAGAAGGTGGTGGAAGAGGAGAAAGAGAAGGAGGAGAAGGAGAAAGAGGAAGAGGTGGAGGAGAAGGGGATGGGGGACCACCACCGAAACGACAGAAGCGACGGGTTGGGCCGGCCGTCTACAACCTACAACGCGTGACCTGCCCGATGACGCGGGGATGAACGAGTCCGCGCATATTCCACTGTGTACGACCCAACGAAAGGGCTCTGACATGTGACCGGGCCGGAGTGTGCATCGTCCCGGGGTGCGTCCCACCGTCCGTCCGTCCGTCGGGCAGAGCAGGTTCCTGTGCGAGGCGAGGACTTCCGTGGCCAACCACGTGACGATCTTGGTGAGTTGCTCCTTGTACTCCTTGTCGTCTCCCAAAGGAATCCCCCGTATATCGATGAAAGGGAGGGGTGGATTTTCTAATGGTGGTTTCGCGAAACCAAACATTAATGAACGAGAACTGCACGGTGTGGATTTCAGATGCGAAGGGAAGAGCGGGAGAGGCGATCGAAAGATTCATTAGTTATAGTATAATATTTTCTTCAATTGTGCATCTAACTAAGAAAAATCCGGTTTTTTACAAAATGTGATGTGTAGTATGTTCGCTTTTAAAATTTAACGATAATCGAAGCATTTTTTATTCTTTTGCGGGGTTTTCTTCTCGAAAAAATTAAAAACACATTTTGAGTACAAAATTAGAGCATTATTGAGAAAAGAACTAATCAATAGTGCTTTAGAAAATATATAGAGGATAATATAAAGAATGTTTAGAAAATAAAGCCTTATCTTTAAATTATTTTTAAATTAATTTTATATATTAACATAATTTATTGTTTCTATATATATGTATGCGTACGCGCGTACGTGCGCGAGTGCATAAACGTGTTTGAAAATCAAAATATTTCGAAGATTGAAAATAATTTAAAATGTGCTATCACATATTAAAAGTTTGAACCTTTATGTAGACCATAATAGAAATTTTATGAATGTTTTAAATATGTAAAAATCTTTTTAAATATTTCTATGGCAAAGTGTTAAGGAACAAACGATTTTATTTTAATTAATTTTATATAAGAGAATTTCATACCGATAAAATTGCAAATTTCTCAGAATAATATGTTATGAAAACAGCGCTGACACGCATTGATCAGATAAATTTAATCTCTGTATAGAATAAATAAGCTACTGAAGGAATTCTTTTATCGTAATACCGCGAATATAATGTGCATGTGACTTTGCTATCAATCATTAGTTAAATTAAATTGAATTTAATTTATACCAAAAAAAATCAATTAAGATATGTTATCATTGAGATAATATATCAAGATTCCTTAATGTATATAATATTCAAACAAAGCAATAAATCGTCACCGACTATGAACTTTCGCGATTAATTATTTCAATCAATTAAAAAGTTCATCAACTTTACAGAATTTTATTACACATTTTCTATTTCTGTTTTCTTATTCAAAAGACAAATGTTTTTCCGCGGATTGGCGCATAACGGAGATGGTATACATCGCGGAAGTTTCAAGCGTCGCGAGTTTGTCTCTTCATCAATGGTCTCGTCGCATAGTTAGGGAAATAGTTTCGCTTATTTCGCAGCTTTACTGTCTGTCGTGATGTCTCATGCACGACTGTACTTCCCGATATCTTTGCTTATATCCTCTTTTCTTTATTTTTCAACTCGACGCGCCTGTCAAGGATTGCAACTCTCGCGAGACTATAACGTCGCGTATACTTTCTCGACACGTATCGAACTCCATTTGTAGAATTGCAAAATACGTTACTAGAGTATTCCACCGCAAACCATTGCATTTTCATTAGATTCGAAGGTAACATATAGCCTGCGTTCGTTGATATATGTATGTAATAACTTGTATTATAGATTTTAATTTCCCAATAGCTCTCTTTGTGAATAAACGAACGCAAGCTTAATATATAAATTCGAGGGTAAATTGGACATAGGTTGAAAACGTAAATCAATGAGGAAGAGAATTCCAGTTGCATCGAGATTATGAGCGTAGAAAGAAAATTATATGTACTAAAAAAAAGTATAACGAATTCAATTGCTTGCAAGGTATGAAAGAAAATACGACAAGTAATGAAGAGTACGAATGAAAAAAACCGCTTTTGCATCGTTTTTGCGACTTTTAAGAGAATCTAAAAGCGATGAATCTAAATCGGAGTTAAACGCCAATTTATAATTTACATAGTTATTAGATTAGTAATCTAGAGCATAGGAAATAAGCAGAAAATAAATTTTTCGCGCCGCTATAATAAACCGCAACTGCGGGTTCCACGTAATTTTTTCATCAATTTTCGGGAGTTTACATGCACCATGGCAAGTAACGACGAAAAAATATATATATTCCAACGTTGCTAGAAGAAACATTGATGTTTCGTGCGAGAAGTTCAATGCTTACGATCGCGTGTCGTAGGCCGAACATATACATACGTATATTGTATATACACATATACATATAAAATATATATTGAATACATACTGGAGGCATGGTACATGCCGGCCTGACTCGCGATTACTTTAGCGCACTTGTCGTGGGGTTTGGATATAGAATACGGTAGGGTTGCGCGCTCGCGTGTGGCTGCCACACGATGGGGCACGACACAGGGGAGGCTCGCGGAGGTGTGCGAGCGTGAAGGTTGATTCACGCTCGGGGTACAACGGTATAGCTCTCTTCGCGATTGTGCCTCGATAAAGGCGATAGCAGCACAGCCTCGTGCATAACAGCCGAATTTATTCCGGATTTTTAAGCGAATTGTCGTCGTTGCGAAAAACAATTTCTCCTCTTGGGAAAAGGGGAAGCGCAAAACCAACTTGTCCGATGCGGAACATTGTGCGGTGTGTTTCGCGGGACTATATTTTCTCACGTAAATCCGGTGCTTCTTCGAAAATACTTCTGGAAAACAGTTTTGTAGTTTTATTGTTAGGTAAGCGTGATATATTGACCTCATTTGTTTTCCCATTTTGTTAACTAAATCCTCTCCAGAAAATGGCAAATAGTTTGCGCGTTAAAATGAATTTTTGTAAAAGATTTACACAAGTGCGCTTTCGTTTCAACTCATGTGGTATAAAATAAAAATTATACAGTAAATCGTAAGTAAAATAACATTGCTGTGTGCTCTATTTAAATTCTATGAAGTTCGTGTTAGGTTAACGTTTGGCAACGAACACCGCCGCATGAGCCGCACCGGCGAGCAATTTGCAAACGTGGATGGCACGCAAAACTCGCTTAAATCATCAGACGGTATGGTCAAAGGTTAATTCGCTGGAACGGAAATTGAAGACCAATTAGACAACCGGAGTATCCTACCAAATTGTACCGTAAACAGTAAAGTGCTCGCGATCAATCGGCAATAGTGCCGTTTTCCAAATATCCCAAATATTT